TCTATCAGAGAGGAGAAAGTACATATGTGTGTGTGTGTGTTCTCTAAAATTGCTTGTTAACTTATGGTGACTCCATGAATGTCAGGATTTGCTTAGCCATGGAAGACTCAGAAATGGTTTGAAATTGTACTTGTAGAATTCTATGTATGAGATATCAAAACAATATGGCAGGCTTTGGATACTTCACGTTTTGATGGCATGTCAGGCAAAATACATCTTGGGTTGAAAAAATTATCTCCTGGAAAAGCCACCTCTGAATATTTATAGCTTTAAAAATCATACAATCTTGATTGGGATTCCATAAATTGACAGGTTGCTTGAAGGCACATAAACACACAAACATATATGACACATTATTTTCTTTGACTTGAAACTATCATTGTTGCATTACAGCTAAGAGTTAACATCCACCCCCAAGAAAGTACAAGCCTAGCAGATACCATATGGCTTAATTTTTTTTTAGAAAAGGGAACTGCTGCATATAAGCTATACTTCAACTGTTCTCATCTCCCGCTTGGCTGATAGCCATATTGGACATGGCTTTACGGCAAGGCGGCAAATCCACTGCCCAGGGAGCCTGCAAATCTGCTGCCTTGCAGCTGTATGATGGCTTTAATCAACAATTATGGAAGTGCTGAGGATAGAGTAATATACTTTCCCCGTGTCTCTGCAAATCTAAAAGGTGTCACTGACTTAATCAGCATTTTCCTCCCTAAACCCCAAAGAGATAGGATCAAGTCAGCTGCATATAGAACATATATCCATCTCAACTCCTAGAATATTGATAAGGGGAGAGGGTTACAAGAAAGAGACATGTATGCACAAAAATCAGCAATCAGTCATATGCAGAACTGACATTGGCGTGGGAGAACCACAAAGTTAATTACCCATGAACATGGAAAGATGGAGAGTTGCAGTTAGTGGGTTTATCTTCACAGTGCAGGAAGAGACAGAAGAGAAAATGAGAGAGAGTTGTTTCCAGGGATTAGGTTGGCAGCCAGCCTTGAATGAGTCTTATTCAGGCACCCACTGGCATTTCTTCAATGGTAACACGACGGTGACCAAGATGTCCAGAGCAATTATACTTACACGACATAGAGGAATGTAGTAAGCTATGGCTCGGGCTGCTTGGCTTCTGCTGCTATTGTGGGCCATAGAAACAGAGAGAAAATTCAAATGTTACAGCCACCACGTGAAGGATACCGGGAACACTGAGTTAATTAAAAAGGGGTCGTGACACTAATTAGTGCAGTACATTTAGCAGATACTGCACCGTTACAGCACTCAATGCAGGGTGTGTTGGGATCACTCTGTGATGTTTAGAAAGCCAGCCATGTCTGTTACATGGATCACTGAATAACAGTTGTAAGGCTGATACAATCAGCTATGTATATTTATTGCACCATCATAACATTGTAAGGGAAGTGTCAACAATCAAGCTTCAAAAAGGAATGCCTTAAAGTAAAAAGAGAACATTGACAGATCCTTTAGCTCAGCGTTTCTCAACCTTCGTAATGCTGCGATCCCTTAATATAGTTCCTCATGTTGTGATGACCACCAACTATAAAATTATTTTTGTAGCTACTTCATAACTGTAATCTTGCTACTATTATGAATCATAATGTAAATATCTTATATGCAGGATGAATTTTCATTCACTTGACCAAATTTGGCACAAATGCCTGATATGCCCAAATTTGAATAGTGGTGGGGTTGGGGGGGGGGATTGTTTTTATCATTTGGGAGTTGTAGTTGCTGGGATTTACAGCTCACCTACAATCAAAGGGCACTTTCCCCCGCCTTGAAGGGACGCGAGCCTCCCTCCAATCTTGTGCGCTCTCCCTAAACCACATATGCGCACCACACCGCCATGCACCGAGCACGCCTGCTCTCACCTCTGCACTTGGAGTCTCAAAAACAGGCCTCCCCTTAGCTGAGAGGCCAGCCAATCACAGCAAGAGGAGGGCTTTTGGTGGGAGGATTCTGTCTGTTTCCAAAAAGGGTTCCTAAGACCATCAGAAAGACGTGTTTTCTGATGGTCTTTGGTAACCCCTCTGAAACCCACTCACGACCTCCCCAGGGGTCCTGACCCCCGGGTTGAAAAATGCTGCCTTAGCTTAAGGAAGTTACTGCATGGCTTTGGGCCCAATTGATCACAAAAATCATAATGAGATTATATTCATGGCATTTCAGGTTATCAACTGGAATCAATGAACTTCCTGTTAGTTAAATAGCTGACAATATGTAAACACTTAACCGGCACATTAGTGGCTTTGACTTTGGTGGATTTTGTTATTCACAGATTTGATTAATTGTTCTCTAGAAATCTCTAGGATCCTGAGTGTGGCTCTATGGCTAACATCCACTAATGTTTGATCATAGAGTCATGCTGGAAGACCTAGGCTGGATGTACACAGCCATACAATCCAGTTTGGAACTGCACTATATGGTCATATAATGCAGTTTAACTGCATTGAACTGCATTATAGGGCTCCACACTGGCCAAACTGCATTATATGGCTGTGTATATCCAGCACCTAAAAACCTCTAATTTCTTCAGTGCAACTTTTAGTTGAAGTTGGCTATAGAGATGCCTGAGAACCTAGAAATGCCTAGACAGGTGTTTTGACAAGTTAAAAAGGCATTTTTTTATTGATGGTTTTTTATGTCTATGGGAATCTTGTGCTCCTAACCCGGTGAATTTTGAGTGCAAACTGTATAGTAGTATTGTGATATGATAACTGACCTGCGCCAGAATTCAGGATTTCTTATTTATTGGCAACATATAGCAGGTAGCATTTTAAGGTAGCAGCATAGTCACTTACTAAATCTTGCTTTAATTCCATTTATCCAAACCAAAAAAGCAAATTTATGCTCTGGGTTTTAAATCTGGAAGTCATAAATAGCAAATTCCAAATATCAAACACTTTTAAAATCGCCATACCCCTCCCCCACCCCAATACAATGTATAATTGTAGGATCTTTTGGAAATTAGGTATGATGGATTATATCTGTTTATTATTCACTCATGTGTTGCATTTATATTGTTTATTGTGGCTGGCGTCCTACAGTTTACAATATCTTAAGCTGGATTTATGGCATCATAAGTATTTGAATTCACATTTATGGTTGTTGCAGCAGTTAAACAATTGAGTGAGTCCCACCCCCTAAATTCTCCAGTAGCATCAACAACGTATGGCTTTCCAAGGCACTGGTGAGTGGGGCAATGAGGGAGGAAGCATCCAGCTCCCTCAGTGACAAAGTTCTTCCTCTTTTCTTTTCTTTTTAAATAACATACTTTTTTTGTAAAACATATAAAAAAACAGTGTTTAAGAAAATTCTACGTGCATTATAATTTCCACTCATTTCCACACACTATGCTACATTACACACTTCATTCTATGCTATACTACACACTAGGCCAGGCATGGGGAAACTTCAGCCCTCTAGGTGTTTTGGACTTCAACTCCCACAATTCTTAACAGCTGGTAGGACCAAAGTTTGCCCATGCCTGGTCTAGACACACAGGAAGGGCTAATATACCTTTATATCCTCTTCTTTGATCAGAGGTTACATTTAACATATACATTTACACTTCTATTAGTTGTACATCTACTTATTACTATCTAATGAAATCCAAGGTTGCAATATATCCGTATTAAATGTGCATCTACACTGTAGAATTAATGCAATTTGGCACAACTTTAACTGCCATGGCTCAATATTATGAGAGAAAAAAACTGGCAAATATTGCTACCCAACCTCTTCCTCCCAAAACACAAAACTCTGCCAGATCCGAGTTTCTTTTGCCAATGTAAGAAGTCCTTCCACACATGGAAGGTCAGCTATGGATCTAACTTGTTATTTTTGAAGATGGTGTGAAGTAGCACAGGGGAAAAACTACCTAGGTGTTGATATTGAAAGAGATTCACATTTCTAAATAGCCAATCAGATTGGCTTATAGTTGCTTCCATGATAATACATTTGTCTATGTGTTTTCTCTAAAAGCATCTTAAACATTTAGGATATCGTATAGCCTGTTGCTATAAGGATAAATCTCTTGTTCCACATAATTCTGTCTCCCGCAGGGAGCAGAGGATTTCATTAAATATGGGAACCACTTTTCTTTGAAATGAGCAGTTGCCACCAAGACACAGTTAATATATATTTTAATACATATGCTCTTAGCCTTGGTCAACAGGTGGAGAAAGGTTAAGCAGAAAAGAGATGGCAGATTTCAGAAGTGAGAAAATGGAGCATCTCACTTCAGATGGTAAGCAGAGGTAGAGGAATGCTCTTTTCGTGTGCTGCCTGCCTTTATTTGGTGAAAATATTGCCCCAAAGAGCAAACTGCATCAGAACTGGGGCTAAGTCAGATGTCTCCAGATCTAGTTTTCCCTGAATATTCTCCTGCTGCCAGTTTTCTGCTCCTTTGGCTGTGATGAGGTTGAATCCTCTTGCTATTTACTTACTCTTTGAGACTAACCAACATAATTCAGAACTTTTGGTTATTCCCAACTAGAATAGATTCATTGGCTCAACCATTGAATGTTCAACCCATAAGTAAATCACATTGCTTCAATGGACTTATTCTGGTGGGTATGTTTCAGGCTCCAGTCTTTATGAGCTATTATTATTATTATTATTATTATCATCATCATCATCATCATCATCATCATCATCATCATCATCATCATGGACATAACATAACAGCACACATGCACATTAGGTCCAAGTGTCTCGGATTCGCCTCTGAATACCAGGGTCTTCCTAAGAGCCTAGGATATTAGCGGTATTTTCGTAGAATGTCTGCAGTTCTGAGAAGTGCTGCCTTCTGCAGCATGTGGATTATGGTCCTCACCAAACTAAGGCTTTTCAAGTGCTTTTCGAGGTTTCTTGGAATGCCTCCAAGAGCACCAACCACTATTGGTATCACTGTTGTTCTCCTTTGCCATGATGATGATGATGATGATGATGATGTTTATGTATACCCTGCTTTTTCTCTCTACAAGGAGACTCAAAGTGGCTGGACAAGGATGTTTCATTGCTTCCTGTCCATTTACAGGCATCCTGTTCTGACATCAACAGAAGAGCCTGTGCATCCAGTGAGAAGGAAGGGGACCATCCAGATTACATTGTGAAGACTAAGGGTGCAACTATATCAGAGCTTTCCAAACTGTGTATCGTGACACATTAGTGTGTCGGCTGTAGTGTGTAGGTGTGTCATATCAACATAACAAGAAACATCTGATGACCTCATCAGATGTGGCAGATTTTGACAACAACTCCAGTTGTGCTGAAGCTTTGTCACGGAGCCTGCTGTCTCCCACTACATGTGGGAGAATTACTTCCAAGATGGCCACAGGGCAAAACTGAGGCAGAACCAGAATCACCACCGAAAAAAGCTGCTGGCGGCAACAGAGGAGGCTTCCCGTGTTACATTGGCCTCAGTGGGGCAAGTCGGCTGGCAAACGTTTTCTCCCATGTGATGAGGGAGGGAGGAAGCCAGAACAGTGCAAGGCGCGAGGTGATAGGTTTACTTTACTACAACAATCATACCTTTGTGTTTATCCTTTTAAATTTCATATTTTTCTTTTGCTGAGGTGTGAATTATTTTGATATCATAAATAGTTTATTTCTATTCAATGTTCTCTCTTGGTATATTTTTAATGGCATTGTTCTTATACATTGTGAATCATTTTGAGTCTCATTTGGTGGGGGCAATAAGTAAACAAACAAACAATTTAAATGATTTTGTTTCTTGCAAGCTGAAAAATGGTACAAGAGAACTTAGGAGAGATGTAAGGAATATTTGGAAATTTTCAAAAATGACCCAAAAGTGAGTTTCTTGATTGTTGGGAAACCTTGATAAAGAAAATTTTGGACTGATCAAAATTTTGCATTTTGAGACTTGTTTTGCACAATTTTTTTCTACAGAAATTAGTATTTCTTGCAGAAAAAAAATTTCAGCACAGGAAACAAAAGAACCATGCCTTTCTCACAGCAGGGGAAAATGCTCAAATTACTCACTGCTTGCTTTGAAAGTGAAATTTTCATCACTATAGTAGGAATCACATTAAACAGAGTGGAAACCCATTTCCCCTATCTATATGGTTGGCTGGCTATTGACTGTTTCATAATCAAATTTAAAATCTGTTTCTTGTATTCTATTAGCCAGGAGCATGCGGGATAAGATGCATAAGCTATCAGAAGTTGGGCAAGATATAAACTTATAAAATATATACTCATCAATCAGCCAACATTTATATCCAATTAAGTAATAAATCAAGATTTTGAAAAATGAGTGATAGCTTGATAATTTATCACAACATCGGCAGTATTTTGAAAATACAGTGAATACGCTTGTTGCTATGTAATAGATAAATCACAGCCCAGACAGTTATTTGAATGGCATTTCTAGATTAAAGAGATGATTGCAAAAGGCATACAACAGGCACAAACTGAAGTCTTTTCAGCAACATAGAAATAGAACTAAATTTAATTTAAAATATGGATTTTGAATCTCTTTACTCGAGTAATGCCAGAATCATACAGAAGCAGAATGGGTTAACAGACAAATAGTTAATTACAATAGAGCCAAATATCCACCCAATTTCCCCTCTTCAAGGCAGCAGGTGAAGGATCAGCTCTCAGGCTGGCTAGATTCAGCTTTAAGGCTCAATTGGTGAATTCTCTGCCAGGAAAAAGGTTAAGTTGAGCAAATTTGTGTGCAGGGAGTCTCTGAGTTACAAACATCCAACTTACAAATGACTTATAGATAAGAATAGGAGTAATTCAACAGGAAGTGAGAGAAATCTACTCCCAGGAAGGGAAATTCATACTAACCCCTTCATCACACTGGGACGTTTTGTCCCTTTGAAGCACTTGGGAGACGGTCCCTGCCGAGCGCCATCACATCAGGCTCGGCAGGCACTGTCCCATTTACCCTCCAAGTGCTCAGCAAGAGTTGCAAGATGCTTCTTTGGCAACAACAGAGAGGTAAATGGGTTTGGGATAGTTCCAACGGAGCTACCTGCATTTTTGGGCTCTTTCCCCTTTGTGATGGGAAAAAGGGCAATGTGGCAATGCCCTTTCTCCCATCTGATGGTGACAGCCCAAGCCAAAAATGGACTGGTCCCTTCTCTTTCCTCTCTTTCTTTCACCCTCCTTTCTTTCCTTCTCTACTCTGTTGGGGAGAGACAGCTAGAGAAGAAAATCTGTAGCAAAAGGAAATTGAAAATGTCAGTTTTGAAAATAATTACAGAAAATTTCTAGGAAGCCTAGGAAGACAGGTGAAACAGAATGTGGGTCTAGCAACTCATGAACAAGTTGAGAAATGAAACAGTGAAAACCTGTCTGCTGTGAACTTATAACAAGAAAGAACTGCAACAGGATGGCTCTAAAGGCCAATCTGTCTCTAGTAGGTTGTCCCCAGTTGGCAAGGTTTCTGAACCAGTGCCACATCTCTAGGAAAAGCTTGCTTTCTCTCTCTATCCATCTCCCAGTTCCTCTGTTTCTCTCTCTGCTAACACATTTACCATGTTGAAGGTAAAAGAAGCTGTTCTGTCATTCCAAACAGCATAGCTTTTATATCCTCCACTCATCTTTTGAAGTTCTTTATAATTTGGATTACTTAAAATTTTATGAATGAGGTCCAATGGGGAGTCAGCATGGCATAGTGGTGCTAGCATAGACTATGCCTTTGGAGACCAAGGTTCAAATCCTTCATGAAACCCCACTGGGTGATCTTCAGCAAATCATACACAGCCTCAGAGGGAGGCAAAGGCCAACTCCTTCTGAATAAATCTTGCCAAGGAAACTATAGATTCACCTTAGGGTTGATATAAATCAGGAGTGACTTGAAAGTACAGAACAATAATGAGACCCAGGATATTTCATTGCCTGATGTGGACTAGCAAATTTTGTTGTCCTCCAAGCAGATCAAACACAGTTGCATAGAGTGCAGAAACTGCTTGAAGCAGAAAATCACACAATAACTTCTCTTCATTCATAGGAACCAAATATTAATGCCAATACTCATGATGAAAACAACATATTGTCTCATGACATCCAAAGATTTGTGCCCCCTTTCTGCCTAATGACAAGACCAGGCCTGTGAATATAGTGTAACCTTCTACATAACATCCCCCGGCTATAAAGCTCATCTCTTTCTGCTTGTTTCTTTGCTGAATGCAAGACAAAGGCAGTAGATTCTCACTACAAAGAAAATTGCTAGAATCTCTTCTGGCCAAGAAAGGTGCAAATGGTGACCACCAAGGGTGCATCTACGCTGAAAAATTAATGTAGTTTGACGCCACTTTAACTGCCTTAGTTCAATGCGATGGAGCCATGGAAGTTATAGTTTTACAAGAACTTTAGCTTTCTCTTCCAAATAGTACTGAAGCATCACCAGACTGCAGGCCCGTAGCCAGGATTTCGTTTCGGGGGGGGGGCTAAAAAAATTTCAGGGGGGGTTTTGGGGGGGGCTGAGTTTCGGGGGGGGCTGAGTCTGAGTGAAAGAGGGTCTACCCTAGCAAACCTTTTGTATCATACCCCAATACCCCCATGCATATGGGATATATTGAGTATGGTGATCAGATCATGATATGAATAAACATAACAGTTTAAATAATGCACCAGTAAGGCCTTTTCGCGAACCACCATGAGAATTGGGGGGGGGGCTGAAGCCCCTCAAGCCCCCCCCCCCCCCCTTACATGAACAGCATTATTTACCTTCGATGTAGTAAATGCCTTAGCAGAGAGAGGGACAGAGAAAGACTGGGAGATGGATAGCGAGAGAAAGCAAGCATTGAAGCATGGCAGTTAAAGTGGTGTCACACTGCATTAATTGCACAGTGTAGATACACCCCAACTTTGAAAATGCACCTGGGAACATTTTCCCCTAGCTTTGAAGTATTCAGCTCTGGAGTTCTTTCTTGAGCCAAAGAGCATGACAGCTATTCCATCATGCATGGTGTAATGATTGATTTGTTCCAAGGCAGACTGTGTTTCTTTCTTTTGAAGCAAGCAAATGAAACAAAGCAGAAAACAGAAAACAACAAAGATTTATTTAAGACTATGTGATCTCTCTTTTATTAATGGAAAAGACACATTTGCTAAGTCAAACAGTGCTGAGTGTATTGCTGCAGGCTTTCATGGCTGGAATCACTGGGTTGTTGTAGGTGAGAATATTTCAATTGGCCACTTTGATAAGCATTTGATGGCAGTAACAAGCCACACCTAAAAACTGTCAGGCCATCAAATGCTAATCAAGGTGGCCAACTGAAACACTCACACCTAGCTCCAACAGACAAGAGTTCTTTCTCCCACCCTGGACTTTCCACAGCTATATAAACCCAATTTTCCTAGTTTCCAACAGACCTCACAACTTCTGAGGATGCCGGCCATAGATGCAGGTGATACGTCAGGAGAGAATGCCTCTAGAACATGGCCATGCAGTGCTGAGTGTTCTTGGAAAGAAATCCCAGAACAGGACAAAAGCTGTGCTATTTAACATATCAAGCTTTTTTCAGAGAAAAATGGAGATCAGAGGTTCTCATATTTAGAGAAAGAGTGACTCTGTTCTGAATGACAGATCTTGCACTGTTATCTTTCATAGGAAATTAGAGGTTGAGTATATCATTCAAAACTTTTTGAAACAGAAAGATTTTGGATTTTGGAATACCCATATTTGTATATAATAAACTCTCTTGGAGATGAATCCCAAGTCTAAACATGAAATTCATATATGCTGCATACACACCTTATAAACATAGCCTGAAGATGATTTTATAAACCTGTGCACAAAACACAGTTTATGTACCTTAATCTACCAGAAAGCAAAGGTGTTGCTATCTAAGCTACCCATGTAAACATTTTCAATTTTTGGAGTACTTTAAAATTCCAGAGATGGAATGCTCAACCTAGAGATGGAAATAAAGAATCAAATAGCAAGAGTCCACAGAGATGTCCACTGCTGTGTGGCTGCTCCCTCTTAAGTACAAACCAGCACCAGACGTTCTACTATTAGAATGTGTGGCAGGGGAAAGGAAGAAAAGCAAGACATTTCTATTACATCTGCTGAAAACCTGTTGTGTTCGCTACCTCACAGCTGTTACCTAGATGCTCTTCATTCCACAAGGCTTATCTGATCAGTTTCCAGCTACAATAGATGACATGTTATTTTAAGAACTGGTACCTGAGAAAGTTTTTTTCTCCTTGTAACTCCCCATCTGCTTTTTTCTTCTTCTTGAGTCATGCTTTCCATCTGGAGCAGTCCCTGAAGCCATGGTCTTTAAAGGGTTGTTGTGGGTTTTGATTCTGGCCATGAGAGCCTTCAACAATACAAGGTCTTTAATGCTACTTACTTTTATAAGCTGCCCAGGACGCATTTCCAGAGGTGATACCATAAAAATGCAATGCATAAATATCCTATGCTCATTTGGCAGCAGCTCATAAAACCTAAAGAGGCAAGTTAAGAGTAGCATTCAACAACAACACAACCCACATTTCAAATGCATCCTATGAATCTGACAATAATAACAAATGCAGCAACTGTGACAGCCATTCCTTGAGTGTCCATAGCAACTGCATAGATCCATATTGCCTACAGACATCTCTAGCAATTGCACATTGAAAGCACCGATCAGCACAGAAAGGCATGTGATGGTTGCAGAGTTGACAGGACTTAACCTTTCCCTTTCTGTTCCCTCTCCAGATATCAAAAAGAGGGTTTCAAAGGTAGAGGACAGCGGCAACATTTTCCCCTCTGGCATTCTCAGTCCCGATGCTCTGACCCACCCATAAGGAGGATTGGGAAGGCACAGGTTTAAATCCGGTGTGTCAAGTCACAGCCCTGACACCTGCTTACAGCTGAGTTTTCCAGTCCAATGAACAACTGATGCGGAGTTCCATGATTGAAATGATTGTTTGTACAATGCAAAAGCCCAAAAGCATAAGGTCAAATGTAAGAGAGGCACAACAAATTCAGTAGCAGTATGTCACTATGAGTGTATTGTGACAGGAGGAGACCATTTTGCAGATAGTCCTGCAAGACTTGATCCCTGCTTTGTGTCTTGTTTTGTTTCCAGCTGACCTGGAAGGTGGTGCCTGCTCTAGAAATAAAGGCATTGGGCCATTTCATTTTCAGATTTGTAAATCCTCAAATTCTTTCAGTCTTGAATATGACAACAATTCCCAATTTTAGCATGTTCATCAGAATGAAACTGAAATGAAATTTCTTCCCGTTGATAAATTCAGTAGAAGCAGCTCTTTCTAGCATGGAGAGAACTTTTGTTGCATTTACTGACATGATGGTATGAAACTCAAAGACCCCCTTAGGAAGGGAAAAAAGCAGCAGCTCTAAACTAGGATTGATATGAACAGTCACAGAGACCAAAACCAAGACTTTTAAGAATTAAGCATTCCCTTTTCAATATAGATTAATCTGTAAGTTTTGGTATCTTTTACATTGAGATTTTTTTTAAATGTCATTATTTTGCAATCATAAATATAAAGGAATCTAAAGGTATAGAAATATGCAAAATTATTTTTTAAAAGGGGCAGTGGATTCTTAATTTTTTGAAGTCATTACACAGAGGTCGGATGACCATAATTGAGAGTGCTTTATTTTTGTAGATTGCTGTTGCAGTCCCTTCTAAATCTACGTTTGTACAATTCCATGACTTTGTGGGTGGTATTGGGGGGGGGGGATACATCATCATCATCATCATCATTTAATAACTTATTAATCGCCCTCCATCCGAGAATGCTCCAGGCGATTTACAGTTACTTCTCAGAATAATTCTCAAAAACAACCTGAAACAAACAAGTTGGCTTTTATGCAAGAGATTTTATCTGTGAAGTGGTTATTAGAGACATCATAGTGAGCTACCAAAGGATCTAGTAATAGATTCCAAGTCGAGGGCACCTGGGTTATGCCTCTCACCACTCTGAACAACTGAGCTGGACATGAATCTGCAGAAAGCTTTCTTTGCTGCACATATTGCCACCTTATAGGAGCAAAGATGTCCTCCATACTGTGTCTTGTGGCATAAAAATCGAGTTCTCTGCCATTTGTGCTCTAGTTATCATCCTTCCAGTTTCATTTCCCTGAGAGTCCCTGGTAAGTAATGGGTTAGAGAGGACATTTGGATGCCATTGTGTCAATAGACCTGGATAGATTTTGATTGCACTTACTGACCAAGGATCCAACAGGATTGTCGGTGACACCAGCCACAGGAGGCTCTAAGGCAGGGGTCCTCAAACTTTTTAAACAGAGGGCCCGGTGACAATCCCTCAAACTTTTGGAGGGCCAGATTATAACTGCAAAAAACATGAATGAATTCCTATACACACTGCACATATCTTATCTGTAGTGCAAAAAACACTTAAAAATACAATAATTAAAATGAAGAACAATTTTAACAAATATAAACTTATTAGTATTTCAATGGGAAGTGTGGACCTGCTTTTGGCTGATGAGATAGGATTGTTGTTGTGTGCTTTCAAGTCATTTCAGGCTTAGGTTGACCCTGAGCGAGGGCCTAAGTTTGAGGACCCCTGCTCTAAGGCCTCCTGGAATTTCAAAGGTTCCATTAGCTTTCAAAGGCAGATCATTTTAATAGATTATAGCTGTGATACTAGCACTGACCAGAAAATGATCTGTCCATGACAACTCACCTCCACCCACAGATCCGTATGTTCTAAACTGAAAATCATATCAAGGGTGTAGGTCCAAATGTGTAGGTCCAGAAACCGATTGGGATAGGCCCATGTTTGTCATGGATTCTACGAACTCCTGAGCTGCACAGGACAAACTGGCCTCTGGTGGTATGTTGAAATTGCCCAGAAGCAAAAGTCTGGGCAACTCCAGCAACACCTCCGAGATAGTTCTGAGGTAGCAGGGTGGACAGCACACTAACAGAATCTCCTAGTTTTCAGACTCAAGTACACACACTCAATGTGATTCAGCTACCTAATAGGTAATCTGGTCAGGTAAAATGGTCTTTATAAACCATAACTACCCCCAACCTGCCCACTTTCCCTCACCTGCTCACTAATACAGTATCCATCTGGGAGGGCCTGAGCCCAGGTTGGACCACTATCATTTTCCAGCTAAGTTTCATTGCAGCATGCCAGGTCAGCTATGTTAAGGTGTGTTAAGATGTAGTGACAGAAAGGGATTTCATGTATTTGAAGAGTGCAGTGCTGGACGAAAGAGCATAAAAAAGCTTGGATAAGCACACAGAAAAGCTGGACCACTCTAACAACCACCATGTCAGGATGCACAGAGAAGCCACTGAAATCCACAAGCATGTGGACGATTGCAACAGAAAGGAAGACATCATGAAAATGAACAAAATCTGGCTACCAGTATTTTTAAAAACTCTAAAATTATAACAGTAAATAAAGAACAACACTCAAAAATGGGTGAACTCCAGACAAGAAACAATCAGGGACAGCTAATTACCTCTCAACAAAGGATTTTCCCAGGCAGTAAGAAGCCACACCTTGAAACCGCTAGGCCATTAAATGCTAATCAAGGTGGCCAATTGAAACATTCACGCCTACCTCCAACAGACAATAATTCTTTCTCCTACCCTGGACATTCCACAGATATATAAACCCCAATTCCTAGTTTCCAACAGACCTCACAACCTCTGAGGACGCCTGCCATAGATGCAGGTGAAACACCAGGAGAGAATGCTTCTGGAACATGGCTTTACAGCCCTAAAATTTACAACAACCCATTCCACAAGAATGTTCCTCAGCATTTGAGGAAAACAAGGGCATGGGAGGGTAAAGTTATCAAAACATAATCTCCTTTGTGCCATAAACCCCCCCCCCCCGAATTTTAACACTTTTGGTCTGGTTTAATGATAAGTTATTTCTGTTACAATAGAATATCATGTAACCAGAGTAAGATGTGCTTTGTTTAGCTCCCGAGGACAATTTACTTCTAAATTAGATTTCCACAAGGTAAATGTGCTACATAATTGCCTCCAAAATTGCTGAAGCCCATGTTGTATTTTTTTTAAAATCTAAAGTACAATGAAATATAACTTATTTCTTTTTTTGGTGATGTTAGGAATTATGTGAAACTTACTGGGGTTGCTCAAATATGAATGGTCAAGAGGGGAAGGCAAATGGTTTAACATGGTACAAACCTCCAGTAATATACAGACTATCAAAACCTGTAAATTATAATTCAGCTACTAAACTGACCAATATCTAGTCTTTAGGCACACTAAAGGGACATTGTTGTGTTTAACATATCCCACTGCCATGCCCATATATATGCAAACATCACTAGCATTCTTTCTCTTTATGGCCATAATCCATGCTCTCTTTTTACCTCCAGTACAGAGGAGAGTCATTCTTGCTTTGTAATCTTAAAGCAAGTCAGCAGTGAAAGGGTTTTATCAGTTCCTCTTCTGTCTTACAGAAGGAAAATCATGGGAGCTTTAAGGAAGTTGAATCCACAGCCAATTCCACTGTCGTATTTCCACCTGACAGCAAATGATATGCCATTGGCATTAGCAGAGTGATTGGAAGTGATGTTGCAGAAGTGCAAGGAAGCCAACATGTTTCCACATGTGGGACTGAAGGACAAATATGCCAGCACATCTTGAAAAGCATATGTTTATAGAGTCAAGCTGGAACTGCAGCAGCATACAAACAGACATTTTCTGTAACCCCATAGCACATCCTTTTTGTTTCCTTATAGAGAAGGGAGGACCAATATCCTGATATAGTTTCCTTGTATGATCTTTTGATCACACAAGCTTCCTCCATCATCTGAAGGTGCTATATGTGTGCGTACTATGTATTAATCTTAGTATAATATAATTTTCATGTAATTCTCCCCCAGCTCCCCGCCCCCGAGTTGTTGTGCTGATGAAAGCTAAAAATACTGTACGATACGCAGTCAAAATGTCCCCTGCCTGCTGCTCCACAGAGGGAGAGTAGCTGAAAGAAAGACTCAAATGTAAAAGTACAGTCTGCTTATGCTGAACTCCTGAAAACAGACCCCCTCCATGTGTGCCAAATCTAGTGTAGAGAGAAGTAACGAAAATCTGACTATACTTCTGTCCTCCAAGAAAGGACTCAATCTCCTTCCTCTGCAGAAAGAAGAAAACAAAGCCTGACAGTTTCTCTCCCCTGAGAAAAGAGTCTGTTTTCTTCCTCAGCAGATTGAGGTGTCTGATTCTGTGCAGTTGGGCATCTAGTTGAATTTAGTTCCCAGGGGGGGACGGCTTTTGGAAGCTCACTGTGGTCAGCTTGGTCTTCTCCTGCCCTTGCCTTCATACACAGACAGGGCCTTCATTTATAGTAAAACTGCTCAACACAAGTTTTTCATAATATGTGACTAAATTAGATGGCCTGGGAGTAATAGAGCACACAAACTAGGAGAGGCTGTGGCAGTTTTCTCTTGCTTGAGATTCTTCATATTACTGAGTCAACTACTTTTGCCATTTGAGTCTTGTTTGTACCAAGTGAAGTAAGCTGAGGACAAAGTAGGAAAGTAGAAGAAGGATAAGGAACCTGTCATCTGAATTTTCTGGTTTTTCGGTTACTAATCATTTTCATCTTTATCCCATGAGCAAGTGAATTATCCACTCTATCCACCTTTTTTAATTTAAAAAGGAGTCTTTGACATCGTGAGGGATCAAACTTGTGGTATTGAGATTTGCATTTAAAGAAGATTGAAAAAAGGCAGAAAATTTTGCTATTAAAGGCAAAAAAATTAGCAATTGACTAAAGTATCAACATTTCTTAGTTTTATTTTTTTAAAAAAATACTGAAAAGGATCAAGCATTATGACAGAGTACCAGGGACTAAATGCAATATTCTGGTTCTTGAGTCCAGAAGACAATCTCAGACCGTCTTCTTCCCCCTTCCTTTTTTTGGACTGCCGATAATTTTTAAAACGGGGGGGGGGGGGGGGGGGTAGGTTTTTAGATACGGATATCATTGCTTTCTATAGGTGAGAAAAAGAAAACTGGTATATGACATCTGTATCTCAAAAACTACAGATGACGGGGAAAACTGGTGCCATTTTGGAATCAGCAGGTCAAATATACCCAGAATCAAGTCTATCATTTGAGGTATCAAAATGTTTGTTGGCCAGTGTAGTTATTATTATT